TTGCTAATGAGTACTTTTGTAAGTGTATGTATTTATTCCAACATTGCTAACTTTTCTCTACCAAGAAAGCTAAGATAATTAAACGTGTTTTGAACTGGCCTATAGATATTAAACTCAGCCATGCGTGTTGATAAATAGTGTTGTTCTGATGACATTTTAAGCATATTTAGTGGACAAATGTGCTTTTGTTGGATTCTGCTAAACAATAGTTACTCTTTATTTTTGAACGCTGCTGCTTTTCTTGCTGCCCTGTTTGATGGTGTATTTGAAAAGGCTTTTAGTTTGGCTCACAACTTTCGTCCAGCTTTTTGCATTTCACTGCCCCTCAGCAGCTTTGAAGCCATCAAGAAGAAAGGCCTCTACCATGATAAATACTCATTTAATTGTTGCATCTTGGAGGCTGCATCAGTCCAATAAGAACACACTTGATGACTAGGGAATAAATAAAGCCAAATTGTGTTCTTTACTTAATTATCTCTGCAAATCCACACAACTCAGTGTGGGGAAAGCAGAATCTGATTTTAGGATTCAGTCAACAATGAATGTTTGCCTGGGTTTTTTTTGCATCCAGGCAAATGCTCACGGATAATGACACAGCCAAATGCAACTCTGAGTTTGCTACTGGAAACCCCTTAGTGATGCCTTCTGAAGCAAAGGTGTGACTTTGGAGTAAAGGAGAGCAGAGTGCAGTCCACAGAAACGAGATCCCTTAATAATCAAGGTGGCTGTGGGCCAGATATGCTTCACGTAGTCTCTCCCCCATTCCTTTGAGAGGGGATATGGATTCTCCTTTTTAAAGCAAGTATGTCCTGATACTGGCAGTGTCTTTGTTGTCTGTATCTCGAGGATTGAGCACATTGTGTCTCCAGTGGCACAGTACAGAGAGAGAACAGAGGGGCCTGTTTCTTAAACCCTGGTTTCAGCATTTGACACGAGGGTTTGAATCCAGCACACTGCACAGAGGAAGGCGAGGCAAAAAGCTTCAATCCATGCCTTGATGCGTGGAACATAGGCTTGGGCATGCTCCAGTGAGGGGTTGTGACTGCATTTGTGGTCATGGCACTTCCAAGCACTGTCACAAACCCTGTGAATTCAGCTGTGGTAGGTGGGCTCAGACTTCAGTTTGGGTTGGGTACCAAAAAGATAGAGCACTGCTGTTCTAATGCATCAGCATCTGGTGACTTCTCAGTGTTTGGAGAATTTTTAGGATCACTGGTTGATGTGAAATGGAGATGCAAACTAGAACGTCTATGTTAGTACCTCAGCCTAAGGGGCATCAACTTTCAGTGAGTTCTGGGGGAGCTGCAGGCACTCCGTACCTCTCCAGGACCAGGTGTGTCAGCCCTAAAACCTTTTGACTATTGTATCAAATTTCCAGTCCTTCAGTCCATGCTAGTTCTGCTGATTTGGGCATTTATATTCCACCCTCCTAGGCAGCTGTGCTAGCTTGCTCCCAACCAGTAATTATTACAGTTTGCTCCCAGAACCAAGGGACCATTTCTTGTGTAATATATCATCAGAGGGTCTTGCTTAGACAATGTATTCTACCCAGGCATCAATAAAACAACAGCACTCTGATGATGTCTTGGTGTAATACATCAGCAGAGCAACAGGTCACTCTGATGTATTATTGCAATCCATCATCAAAGTGAGACCCTCTGAGAATGTATTATTCACAAGGTAGCGTCCTCGAAGGAACGACAGATGTGGGGACTAACTCATTTTAATTTTAGAGGAGGGACACATATCCCTTTCGTTCCTTATTCTTAAGGCAGGATGCAAAATCCAGTGGTCTGTAACGCTATTAAGATGGAAGTATTTATTCCAGTGGACTTTGGTTTCTGCTGTCCCCGATGACTGCTGTTATCTGATAAAGCCAGCCATCCTCTTTTTAGCACAGCCAAGTTAAAGGGCCTTAGCCTGCCCACTGAGATCAACTCCCCTTTAAAAGGACAGATGCCCCCTCTTTTGGCCTTCCGTATGCTAGGCCAAAAATCTAGGCCAAAAATCTGTCTGGGAAATCTTTTAGCTTGGTATACCTGTGCAAAACATACTAAGCAGTGACCCTGAGATGCACTTATGCTGGTTGTACCAGCTGGTTGCAATGCATGAGATGAGGTCGGTAGCTCCAGTTTGGCTGAACTGAGTGAGGCTAGAACACTTGTGAATGGGAAGACCCAAATATTGCAACTACAGCCCGTTCAGCAGTAGCTTGGTGCTCTTTCATTTGAGACCTAAGCTGCTTTGATTTAGCTTTTATCTAGTGCAGAGTAAGAGCGGACACAAAGGCAGTTAACACAGAGCAAGCTGCCATGTGGTAAATCTCTTCTCTTCTCTGTCTTACTTTGTGATATGTAGCGTGTGTGACTGCCTGCGCCCTAACTGCAGCCAGACTGCCGGCCGTATTTCATGAGCTCCCAGTGTGAGACAGTCGTCACAAGAACTGATGTGATTCTTGTGGGTATAAGCAGCAGAGTTTTGAATAGCAGGAGGGAGGTTATATTTCTTCAGTATTTGGCACCAGTATGATTACTACCAGAAGACTGCTTCTAGTCTGGTGTCTGCAGCTCAAGAAGGATGGTAGAAAGTTGGAGCAGGTTCAGAGATGAGCCACAAAAATGATGAAGAGATTAGAAAACCTGACTTGTTGTGAAAGAGCCAAGGAGCCCGCTCTGTTCAGGTTATCACGCAGAAGGGAGAGGACTGACTTGATCACACTGTATCACAGTCTAGATGTTCTTTAATGGGAACTAGAAATCTCTTAAGACAAGGCTCTTCTATCTGGCAGACAAGGAGGTATAACAAGATCCACCATCCAGAAGCTGAAGCCTGACACATTTCGACTAGAATCAAGGTGCACATTTTTAACCGTGAAGAGACTTCACCACTTGGGACAACTTCTATAAAACTTACCAAAACTCACAATGGAAAATGTTAAGTCAGCTGGGCTTTCTTCTTCTTTTCTTTTTTCCCTATGGCCTTTTTTGGGTAAGAAGTCAGACTAGGCAGTCACAGAGGTCCTTTCTGGCCCTATATTTCATGAAGCATGTGAGAATACCTGGGGAATGAGCATGAGCTTTGAACTAAGCACAAGCCCAGGAGCCAGCAACATCTGAAGTCTAGTTCTGCCTCTGAATTCCTCTGAGGCCTTTGGCAGGTCACTTAATCTCTGTGTGTCTCCAGAACGCTATCGAGAGCGATGTTACTTCCAGCATGATTTTACTTTGTGGATGCCCTTCTTCACATGGGGAGCTGTAAGGATTCATTATTTGAGTGCCAGCTGTTATTTCCCCCCCGACTCTGAAGTTTAGGAAGAGAGAAAAAATGTACAGGTAGCAACTGTACCTTTATTGCTTCCTAGGGAGGGTTGCGAGGCTAGTTTGTTAATGTGGGTGTGTGGCTCTTGCTTGCCCTGATGCGGCAGAAGCAGAGGGGATGTCAGAATACGGTTTCATGTCTGCCTGCCTTGCCCCCCACCGGAAACATACTGTGACTGACAACAATATTTATTTCCATTGGTGATGGTTTGCAGCTGGCAGAGTAAGTCATGAAGCTCTTCTTTGCATGTGGTAGTAAATTGTCCTATCACCAGACCCTGTCTCATAGCTTTGTGTATATATATGCACTCACATCTATCTATCTATCTATCTATCTATCTATATAGAGAGAAAGAGAGTCTTTTTAGGGACAGATGAGCCTGTAAACATGAGCCTGGAAGAAAGTGGTTTGATTTAAGCCCTGGAAAGCTAGGCTACTGCTGTGCTATTTTATTTCCCATCTGAGTATGTCTGCAAAGTTCCAAATATCGTTATGTTGCTCCCAAAGTAAATGCATCCCAGGCACATTTCCATGGTCACCACTTGCTTCAGCAGGGATGTGACAGGCATATCCCAGCAGCCAAAGCAGCAGCAGGCAGTAGTTGCTCTCTAGCGGTGCTCCAGGCCCCATCCATACACTAGAACCCACAGAGGGGATTCGGTTAAAGTTATCGTGGGGGCGCAGGTGGCTTACGTGCAATTCAGATCTGTCATTAATAGTGGCTGACAACCCTAAGCACCTTTCAGTTGAGGAGTTGCCCCAATTAAAAATGTACAGATCCATTCCCTACATAGGCTGAGCCATAGCCTACCTCCGTCCTCGGGTGAGCCGCGCAGTGGGGCACTGAATGCACAAGCAGTGCTTCTCCAGCTGCAGTCCTAAGGCGTGGAAGCTCAGCTATCCCTGCAGTCTCCATCCCTCCACAAACCTTCCTTCTGCATCCTCCCTCCCTCCCAGGGCAGTGAGTCACCTCCCGAGCCAACTTCCTTCTTGCATAGAGAGAACTTCACATGTTCCCTTCTGAAAGGGTTTCACTGTGGAGGCATAAGTAATTACAGTGTGTAGAGAATATCTTTCCTTGGGATACTTGGCTGCTCAAGGGACTCAGCTATGCTGAACTCTGTGCAACCCCCACCTTGACTCACAGTCTTTTACTTGGATCAGACTGAATTGCAGCTAATGCGCTGCTTATATTACAGCCTAGAAAATCCAGTGGGCCAGACTGGCCCAGCAGAAACAGTTGGTGGAGTTACACTACAGTAGGTTTAGCCTGGTGTTTGTAGTGAAGTAGCTTCCCATAAATTTGCACTTGTTGAAACTTATTGCTGAGCTCATGTGGATTTCCTATTAACTGAGCGTGCGTGTTTTGTCTCCCCACCGGCACATGCGGTGTACATTTTGGGTGTTGAGAGATGTTTATTTCCCCCTCTTTCTTCCTGCGCTCTCCTTGCCCTCCGGCCGTGGGAAGCACAGCCTGTGTTGCTCCTTGAATCTTGTGGAGCATCTGCTGTGTCCATCTTCACCAGATACAGTTCTCTACTCATTTCCAACATGGGGTAAGCTGCAACTTTTCTTCTGAGCACCCTTACCCCAGACAGATATTACCACTGCAATAGTTCACACTTGCCTATGGGGATGAAAACACCCATTTCCCATTCAAATAAATGACTGGGGCATCCAAAATGTCCTCCAGTGGTTTCTTCTCCTACAAAATGAAGAAGAGGCACATGTTTCTACATCTGAACGGCGGATGTTTTGGGAAGGCGTCACGCCATGTTTTTCCCCACAGCTTGAAAAAACAGCCGGTAAGCTCTAGTCCAGCTAAGGAAATGGAGAGCAAATTCACATCCCGGCGGCCCTGCAGACAGAGCCCAGTACTGCGGAGGGACGTGCGTATACGGTAGCATTTGAACACCCTTGGGGAAGGACTGTGCATGCAAGCGGAGACATTTATGACTTGTGGGGGTTCTCGCATACCACTGTCTGTGTCTGAATGGCTTTGTCTCCTCGGCGCAGGCACAGAGACAGCCCCCACTTGCCGCCCTTGCTGCCACGTCACCCTGCGCTCCCCCTAGGTTACTGCCCGGCCTTGCCCTTTGCCAGCCCCAGGGGTCTGTCCGGCTCCTCCTCAGTGAACTGTGCAAGAGCTTGTGCCCTTGTGGGGGGGTCGTGGGGACTATCCCTGCTGGAGTAGATTAATCTGCCTCCTCACGGGTCGTGTTGGGTCCTAACCAGCCCTGCCAGGGCCACAAGCTACCTCAGGCGGGGCGGGGCGGGGCGGGGCGGGGCGGGGCCGAGTG